AAGAAAGAGAAAAGAAAAGACAGTTTGCCATGTGCGTGGGTCCAGGGGAATGTCAGGATTGGCTGGGGAGGTGGAGGAGAGCATGTCAAGAGCCTTTCCTGTACTCTCCATGCAAAAAGCAGATGCGGCAAGGTGTATAGGGTTAAGACCAGCCAGCTTAGGTCATTCCAGGGGTCTCCGGAAGTTATGGGTGTTCTTTAATTATGGGGGGGGTGACCAGAGTAGAGAGTAGAGGCCCCAAAAGGTGGGAGCCTGACAAGGGAGGGGCTGCCTGGAGGCTCTGGACTGTTCTGTTTGCATACGAAAGTCACCCTCACAGGCGACCTCTGTGCTGTCTCTAGGAATCAGCTCTGTAAGTGGCAGCTCTCCAAGTCAGGAAGACTGCAAGAGGTCAAAGCATCAGAGAATAAAACAGAAAAGGCACGGCTACTACACCATAGCTAGGTTTTCCAGTCAATAGCCACACAGCCTCAGCCAACAGCCAGCAACTAGGATAGTTGAGAAAGTGAGTCTGCAGAGGGTCGGGGCCCGGCCTTCGCCAGTGAGGCAGGGATGTGCCACCCATGCCGAGCTCTGTCCAAACCGTAGACTTTTAAGGCACTAAGTTTTGGGATAATTTTTTAAACAACCATAACTTGAAAAACAGTAATGAACAAAACTTCCCCCTCCTCCCTCTTTAACTTAAACTGGGACTTAGAAAACTTAGTGAGTTTTTAACAGGAGGACAAATGGTCAGACCCACAGAGACGATGCAGTGGAAGATGCAAATCTGTCACATTTATGACAAATACCTGATGAGGAATAACAGGAGTTCCAGGCTAGAGCGGCCCTGGCCCGGAATGAGTTTCCTGAGCTCAGCTGTGGGACCTGAGGTCCACCACGTGGTAGCTCTCTCCATGGCCTGAGCTGGGCACCTGTGAGGCCCTGGATGTGCAGAGACCCCTTCTCCAGGGCTCTCACGCTCATCCGCCCCTCGGATCCCATTCCCTCTAGATGAAGACTATCATGTTTGGCTGCCCATGGGGCCCTGCTAAGCCTTGATGTACAGCAAGCAGGGCGCTGAGCTGCTCTTACTTCCTTCATTGCTCTTAGCAAGAACTGAGGGACTCGTAGAGTTATAAATGTTAAAGAGCTTCAGGAACTCTCAGGATCTAGTGAAATCCATAGAGAATGGTTAAATGGTTCCAGAATATCCAAGACCAAAAAAATTTCCCCAAGGAACTTTGGTTCTTTTTGTTAGTGTACGTTAAAGACACAGAATCAACATATTCATTATGAGGAATTGATACATGTGCACATCACATCTTCAGCCTTTTAAATTCCCCTCCTCTTCTCCACCCTTCTGTCATCTCCTGCCCCAGATCTCTTCACCATCTCCACAAAGTCTATCTCTCTATTTCCTGTCATCTCTTTTATTTTGCTCTTTAAATTACTTATACTTGGGACTTCTCTTATAAGAGAAACCACATTATAGTTACCTTAGCGTTATGGTCTTGAAGTACATCCATTTTCTTTCAAATGACTCCAATCTATCTTTTTTATGGCCAAGTAATACTCCATTGTGGATTTATGCATTTTCTTTATTCATTCATCTGTTGATGGGCATATGGCGTGCTTCCAAGGTTTAACTATTAAGAGTTGTGCTGCTGTATACATGGGGATGCACATAATACTGTAATATAATGCTTCTCACTTTTTTGGAAAGATACCCAGAAGAGCTACAGCTGGGCAAAAGGAATTTCTATTTTTAGTTTTTTGAGAAATGTCCATACTGATTTCCATACTGGTTGTACTAGTTTATATTCTTACCAATAATGTAAAAGGGTTCCTTCTTTTCTACAACCTTGCTAGCACTTGCTGTTTTCTGAGTTCTTGATGACAGCCATTCTTTTTGCACTAGGAGGGAATCTCAGTGTTATTTTGATTTGTATTTCTTTAGTGGCCGAAGTGCTGAACGTTATTTCGTATACCTATTAGTCATTTGTACCTTTTCTTAGGAGAAGTGAGTATATCCAGAAATTTTACTCCTTTCTCCAAGTGCAGACCAGGACAGGTGCCCTCTTGTGTTTGGACCCATTCCAGAGGCTTTTGGACAACAGATCATTATCTTTATAACATTCCCTGAAGAACCAAGGCCAGAGTCAGGAAGCTGCTTGTCCATTGACAAATAACTTGACAAAGAAAAGGCTAAGAGGGACCTCCTCAGCTCTGGGTCCCTACATTCCTCCTCCTCCACTCACCCTAGCTGGTACTGGGGTGATGATCACAGGGAGGGGCCACTCTGGCATCACAGGATCAGAATCAGACTGGTAGACAGTGACAGTTCACCCAGGTTAAGAGTCCCATCTAAGATTTGAGTTTAGCATATATGGTGGTGGTGAATAGTGTATGCAAGGGGACCTGAAAGTGTGTTTCAAGGGGACCTGAAGGGTGTGCATGGTTGTGAGAGATAAAGTGAAAGTGGGTGGAGGAGGGAGGGATTTCCCCACAGGCCCAGCCCTCTCCTTCCCCAGTCCTCTGGGGGAAATCCCTGGGGAAAGCAGAAACTGACCTTAGAAAGCTGCCTTGCACATCAGGAAGGCTGCCCAAAACTGCGAGGGTGGCAGTTGGGTTCAAGGGCAGCTGGCGGGGTAGTGTAGTGCTTGTCAGTGCTGACACAGGGAAGGCCAGAGCAGGGGAGGCAGAGAGGGAGAAACAGGCAGTTCCACCGTGAAAACTCGCCTGGGCAGAGGCAGCCTTGTCACGTGTGTGCCTGTGTTCTGACACGTACGTACGTGTGCCTGTGTATAAATAAGTAGCTGCATGTGCCAAAATGGGAGTCTGTGACCAGACCTGTCTGGTCAGGCCCCACCCTTGGGAATGGGGCCAGTGGAGGTGCTGCCACGGGCAGCCTCCTGTCAGAGCCGATGCTAGAAATGACTTGAGAAAGAAACAGGTTTTCAGGTGGGGCTGCACATACATGCACAGCAGCACACGTCTAGGCACGCATGGCTGCTCTTTATCAGCAGCCTGGGGATGACGGGCAGACAAATTTACTCTGCAAACTGTGTCTAGGTCTGGCCTGTCCACCTCTGCCCCAGTGCAGCCTGTGTAGGCACAGGCCAGGAATAGAAGGCCAGAGCCCAGGCTCTGGGGAGCACAGGTGAGAGAGCCCATAGAGGCCAGCAGCCAAGCGAAAGTAGCCCCCATCAGCCTGGCCAAGTAAGACGAGATAGAGAGAAAGCATTAAAGGGACAATCCACATGGGGGCTAAAAGTGAGAGGAGCTCCTTGGCTCCAGTCACCAAATCAACACGAGACTCTCTGCCCTTTCAGGAGCCAGAGCCACTCCTGGGCTGAGGGTACCCAGGGCGTGCCCACAACGCTCCAGGGGCTATTCCTTCATGACAGGGCTTCAGGATGGGACACGTCCTCTCCTCATCCAGGGCTCTCAGAGAGTGCCTGAGGAAAGGGTCATGTCCCCTTTTTCCTTGTCAAGAAATCACCATGGTCCCAGGTTACCCACCGTTTCTCTGGGTAGAGCAGGAATTTTTGAGGTAGTAGAGAAGATGATGTATATTCTTTTCCAGGATGCCTTCTTGAACACCAGAAATGTTTCATCTCAGCTCCGCAGCCCGAGAGTCTTTCTTAGATCAGCAGGTATCTGTTAAATTCCCCAAACGCTTCCTGACCATTAACTTTATACCCAGTGTCTTTTTTTCCTCTGTTCTCGCAAGTCTTGGATAGCTGCCCCTTCCCTCCTTCACCAGTGGCCAGCATCCACTCTTCCTTTCCAACTCCCTTCTCCAAGACAGGCCATGAAGTGGGACACATCACTCCAATTCCCTTACTCTCTACTGGCTACTGACAAGCACACAAGCCCTCACATCCCCAAGGGATTTCCTGTGAACATCTTGGGAAAACTTAATAGAAGTGAAAACCATGACAGTTGGGTAGAGGGGGAGATACACCTTCTTCCACAACCAGCTGGACATGAAAACGCCCTCAAAACATGGTGGCCACGAGGGGGCAGGCTACACTTGCTGGACCACTGACCCACTCATTGAGAGACTTGTTCTTGGATGTGAAGTGTCTGTAGGAAGGCTGTGGTGTACAGGTCCCACCCGGGAACGAGTAGACAGCATCCCTGGGGATGAGGGCTGTGAGAGAAAATGAATAGGAAGCCCCAGGTATGAGTGGACATAGGCACTTGACTGCAAGAATCCATGTGTGATGGGGGGCAAGTCTTAGGAAGAAAGGCAGGATATTGAAGGAGCAGGGGTGTTAAGGGCAGAAGGATTAGCTGTTGGCCGTACCTTTGGAATCGTGTCCTGGGATACCTTGGAGTGGGAAGACAAGGTATCCTGAGGTATAAGACAATTCTGGTTTTCCTGACACCTCAATCTTCTTAGTCCAGCTGGAGTTCATGCCCGCTATGGATCACTGCCTCTCGCTTCAGGCATGCTGCTCCCAGGCCATCCCCGCCTGACATGCAACCATACTTTACATGAGCTAACAGGGTCTCCACTACTTTTAAGCTGGCTTGAGTTTCACCTCAAGCTATAGTTCTGCGCTAGTTTCTTAAGTAGTGTCTGTTCCTTGTCAAGAAATCACCATGGTCCCAGATTACCCACAGGTGAGACTCTAAGCTTACCCTGGCCTTCAGGACTCCACTCTTCCTCCATCAGTGTCATCTTGCTCCTCGGTGCAGCCTTCTCTGTGGCCCCTGGATGGAGAGCACTCTCACCCAGGAAACTGAAGCCTCTGAGAAATGACTGTTAACATCATCTTCGCTCTGGTGACTCCCCGGATTGTCAGATACGTAAACCAGCTCTACTCTCTTCTGCCCTCTGATTATTTCTCTTACCTTCTCATGAGGCTACGGGCCCCTGTGGGTGCTTTGTACACTGCATTTGACCCTAGGGGGCACACTGAAGGCATGTGATGCATACTTGGGGCGGGTGTGGTTTGGCCTGCCCGGGCTAGAGCAGGCTGCTTTGGAGCTTTCTGCAGATGCTGGGCCTGGTGCCCAGTAGGAGAGAAGGGCTGCTGCCTGGAGAAATCTCGTCCAGGTTCCAAGGTGACCTCAAGGAAGATTTGTGGATGGATTCCCTTGTGTATCAACTTGACTAACCACCAGGAATCTGCCCTGATTCTACTTGTCTCCTTTCCCAAGAGACAGCAGCCCTCAGACCTGGCTCTGGAAAGAAGGAACTGGGAAAACTAAACAAGAGACCTGTGAAGCCTGGGAATACAGCTCAGCGGCATCGCACCTGCCTGGCAAGCACAGGGCCCTGAGTTCGATTCCCGATACCAAAACAAAAACAAAAACCCAGAGACCTGTGAAGCTAGAGTAAGAAAAAGAGACCAAGAGACCAAGAGACAGACTAGCAGATACACAAAAGTGAGACAACACAGAGCAGACCAAGAGACAGCCTGGAGGAGGGATTTAAAGATGGAGAGCACACACGGGCTGGCTGGGAGCGCCTCATCCAAAGAGCAACTCCGAGGCCCCTCAACCTTCCACTTGGGCACCCAAACCAGAAACTGGGAGGCCATTTTGTTCTGGCTTCTGCCTCACTACTCAAGCACAACTTGCCTAAGACTTCTCCAGCCTTTTTCCAAAACATACTGGAGTGTGTCCATCCCCCTCCATCCCCACTGCTACCACACCTCCTTTCTCTAGCTATGCAACATCTTCTGAGTTTCCCTGCTATGTGCACTGCCCTTACCCATTCCATTAGTCAAAAACAATTGTCAAGGGCCAGGGACACAGCTCGGTGGTACAGTGACTGCCTGGTAAGTGCAAGGTCCTCAGTTCGATTCCTGGTACCAAAAAAAAAAAAAAAAAAAAAGCATTTTCTAAACACCTGACTGTGTCATTTCCTAAATAAAGCCCCCGATGTGTGTCTTGGTTTATGAGGCTTTACTTCATCTCAGTCCTATCCGTTAGCAGGCCCTAAACACCACCACTGCAATCTTTGATCTCAATGCCCAGTGCTCCTCACTCAGGGGCAACCTGTCCCTGTCCTCCCCATTAGGACACCCCGAGCAGTCTGACCCCATCATCCACCCATCCCTGCCCACGCTGGAACTTACTCCAGCACTCTACTCTGCCAGACTCCAAGCCAGGCTGCCCTCACCACTGCATTCCATCTTTCTGTTTACTCCTGACTTGATTCCCCGGCATTCCAATTACTGCTTCAGGGGCCCTGTCCTTGCCATCCCAATCACTGCCTTCTCACTCTGTGCTGTACTTTCTTTGGAGGGTCATGAGTTTCCTATATTTTCCATTTGCTTTTTTAAAAAATCCTATCCACTGGTTTTTTCTTTTCTTTCTCTTTGTTTTCTTTGGGAGACAGGGTCTCTCTGTAGTTCAGGCTGGCTGGACTATGTAGCCCAGGCTGGCCTTGAACTTGAGGCCTCCCAAGTGCAGGGATTACAGGAGTGCTCTACAGTCCCTAGCTATTCACCAGTTTTCTACGTAAGGATTTATATTTAAATAAAAATTAAGTTAAAGAAAAAATTACACCTGTCCTTGTACAGGTGATACAAAGATACTGTATGATGGGATCCTGTGAAACCTGTCTTCCACCAACACTTTGGTGCTCTGCCCAGATCCCCTTGGGCCCTCTTCACTGTTTCTGGCCCTCTCTCTCTGGGGCGTGGAGTGTGTTTGGCACCAATGACTGCCCCTGTCCTCAGGTCACTGGGGCCACTTTACCCAAGCTATAGAGAGTTCAAAAGTACTTGCAGGCTTTTCTAAAGGTCCACCAGGACAGCCCTCAGTCATGAGTGGGTGTCAGTCCTTTGACTTGAGTGAGGATAGCTCAATTCCTTAATCCTCATTTTGGACGATGTTGAGATTCCTAGTGTGTAGAACAGAGCTCAGTGTACCAAAGGGACTCAATAACTACTTGCGAACAAATGCAGCTAATAAACCTTATCCTTTGAAAGTTCTAGTTTTTGTCATGCTTAGGCCTTCTTATGCAAGATCAAAATACATTTACCAAAGTTCGTTGTGATTTTTTAATATTTAATTATTTGCTCTATCTTGAATATGCTGCAGTAAGTAAGGCAAAGATATATTTTCTCCTTATGGTTTACCTGGTGTCCCGACAATTTTTGCATCTTTCCTTCATTTGTAAAACCAAGATATTGTGTTTTAGCTAAAACTCTTTGGTGAGTGAGGTATTATGCAATCATTTATAGTGATAGTTACAATGATTATGACACCACGCCGAAAAATGCTTTATTATTTTAAACATTTTTTATAGCTAAATAAAAATTTAGTTAACGTAGTGGCAAGGACAGGAGAAATAGTGGAAGATAAAGATTGATTTAAGGATGAGATAGGGCCACGGGTAGTGAAAATTTAAACAGCATATGGAATGGAATAGGACTTAACAGGAAAGGCCAAACAGGAAAGTTTCCACAAATGAAAACCACTTCCTGTGGCCTCATATAGTACAGTGCTGAGTTCTTTACAGGCTTAGTTAAGGGAACAATCCCTTTGCAAGTACCTCATTTAGTCCCCCTCCCCCACATCTAGGCTTTAACCTCGCGATCCAGTGAGTCCAAATGCTCCCTTCCTCTTGTCCTGGCTGAGACAGCACAAACACTGATCTCTGTGGTTATCCAGTGTTCGAGAATTATATCTCCAGGCCCTCCCCAAACAGCTGTCTCTGGAAGATCCTCGCTGACCTCTTAGGAGTCAATGCTTTTTTTTTCAAGTGAATTCAGAGAACTTCTGAGTTCACCAGGTCCCAGGCCAGCCACATCCTCATAACAAATGAGAATATGCGAAGTAAGACAAAGAAAATCCTGAGCACCCTGGGGCCTTAATTGCACTTGTACAGGGTTAGAGAGGTCATGCCCTGCTGCTTGCCTTCTTAACCACAAGTGCACTGCACTTTTTATGGCTGTCCACATGCTATTCATGGTCTTAGAAGAGCAGCTACTCCGGAGTGAGCACACCCCAAGGGCCACTGGCACCAGCGCACTCCCTAAACTCATGCAGTGTCAGGATGTCACCGGCAGTCTTGGTTTTGGGGGCAAAACGACCACCTCTTGCCTAACAACCACCTTTTACAGGAGCTCAGCTGAAGCGCTTTCCCACTTGCTTCAGCCACAGGAGCCCAGCCCCAGGGTTGCTCCCCACACAGGGACCCGCGTAGGATCCACCAAGCACAGCTCCGAGAGGTCTTGGGGTGACCACCAGACGCGCTCCCCAAAGTATTTGAAACTTTGGAGAGGCTTATCGGTGTACCAGTGAGCAAACGGCCTGCATTTAGCTCTAGGGTCCGGTGAATTAAAAGTGAGAAAGATCCTACTGATGGTCTCCAGGAAGCCACCAGGCGCGGGTACACCAGTCCCTTTCAGCCCTAAACTGTGGGGCAAACCCTGGGTCGGAGACCGAGTGCTCCCCGCCGGGCTACCCGCTCAGCCCCGCCCACTTACATCACACCCCGCAGGCCCTCTCACGCCTTCTTGATTGGTGGAGAGCTCGCACGAGCGCCCCCTTACACCCCGCGCCCGCCCTCCCGCGGCAATGCCCCGCCCACTGGCTGACGGGGCTGCGAGCGTGGGCTGCCGAGTGTGGCCTGCAAGTTGCGACCCGAAGGCCCGGGCGCCCTAGGGCTCAGACTCTGAGGCTGAGGGGGCGCTTTCCCGCCACGCCCACGCGCTGGCCGTCGCCCCTAGTCTGCCAGTGGTCCGCTGCCCCGCACACGCAGTTCTAGCCCAACGCGGGGACACAGGCCCCCGCCGCAGAGCACCCGGAAATGCCCGTGGTCCGGGCTCCGCTCGGCGTCGACGACCCCCAGGCCCGGAGTCGGTCCTGGAGGACGCGCAGCGTGGGCCCGAAAGCCGCCGCGGGGTCCGCCGGGCACTACGGAGCCCTCCCCGGCGCCGGCCCGGACCTCTCCGCGGGCCGCCCGGGTGTGAGACCCACGCACGTGGCTCCTCCGTCCCGCGCCAGGGCGCCTCTCCCCCGGCACCCCGTCGCGTTCCCGCACGCCC